TTTGCAAGATTCAATATATCATTTTCTTTTTTTTTTTCTTTTTTTTTTAATGGCATAGTTACGATGTAATTGATATTGTAAATTTGTAATTATAATATATTATTATATATAGTTTTAATGACATTTTATAAATATAAGTTGATAATTGTATGTGGTATTATAAATATAAAAATATTATAATTATAATATTACATGAGATTATAATTTACAGTATAATATGTCATTATATAATCAATTATTTTTATTTAAAGATATATTTTTAATATTATATGTATTTATTTATTTAATATCATATTACATTCATTTAATGTCACTTTAACATTGTAATATTTTATAATCTTACATTTTTATATTATATTGTAATTATAATATTACTATTGTAGACATATAATTATGATTTTCTTAGTTTTTAAATTTAGAGTTTTTATATGGAAATCAATAATTTTACTTAATTTGATGATTAATAATTATTGATATTAGGAATTAAAGAAAACTAGGATGTTCTCATACAAAAAATGTGAGAAACGGTAATAAAAAGATTAAAATATCCTTAATAAATTAACAGGCAAACAAGGATATATTAAAAGTATTTGAATAATTTCATAAAATGTTCTAATATTTAAAGTGTTAGGATGTCCTGATTTGGTATAACCCCCGAATCCACCCTTTAAATAAAAGGATAGAAATAAATTACTCTTTTAAATTATCAATTAAGACAAATTACTTATTATTTAATATGTGATATCATCACATGTTAAAAATTTATTTACTCTCTAAGCATGTTTTTAATAAAAAGTTAATATATAATAATGTTACACATTAAATAATGAATTATTTATCTTAAATTAATAATTTAAAAATATAATTTATTCATGTAATTTTTTTAAGAACAGAACTTATTCGTGCCCCCTATTTGAGGAGCAGATTCGAGGTTTTAACCTCATAATCTTCACCTTTCTCTTGTTACTAATAATTGAATACTACAAGTTGTTGAGTTATTATTTATTTATACAAATCACTTGCATACAATTATATGATCATTTATCTCTTTATTATAAATGATTAAGATTTATTATAATTTTTATATAAAAATAAATAAAAATCAATTATTTATAATAAAAATAAATAATTAAAATTTTATATAAATAATATATATAAAAATTAAAAAAAATTACCTTTCATGGTGGAAGTTAA